GGAAAATTTATTCATGTGAGATCTATTTAGCATATAATTGATATTTTAAATCTGTAATCATAAGGTAAAACTCCTAGTATTTTTTTTTTTTTTTTTTTTTTTTGCGGAACCGGGGATTGAACTCAGGCCCTTGCGCTTGCCAGGGAAGCACTTATTCCACTGAGCCATCTCCCCAGGCCCCAAAACTCCTAGTATTGAGACCAGAGAGACACCGTCCCCATGAGTCCTTCTAGAGGAGGAAATACTATATAATATAGTGGTTCTCAAATGTGTGCAAATGAAATTATGTAAAAGGCTCTTAACAAGTTCCCAAATGCTTTTGATGTTGATCTGAGGACCGTGTTCAGAATCACTTATACAAAGAATGCCTGCAAACATATCCTTTCTGTAATTGCAACAGAAGTCCCTGAAAGTTGTTGCTCCAAAGCACAATTGAATGGAAGGGTGAAAGATTGCATAAGACTTACTGAAGAGCATTTAATCTAGAGTAGCATTTCCAGCCTGTTTAGAGAGAGCATGTCAGAAAGCATCCCTCAAATTTGGAGCACTAATTTCAGGGTATAGTCCTATATGTACAGCCTAAGTTCCTTTGTTATTTATTGGTGGTGTGAGTGTGTAAGTAGGCTTACCTTTATATCCCCACTGTTCATTCCCCTTGCCAAGAGAAAGCAGTGTTCAAATTTTTAAAAATGAAAATAATGTATTAAATGTGAAACATTTCTGTTTCAGAACTGTTCGTCAGGTGGCACAGGAGCAGTTCTTTTTAATGTGCACCAGATGTTGCATGGGACACAGGCCTCTGCTTTTCTTCATTACTCTGCTCTTTACCGTTTTGGGGGTGAGACATTTTTCATATGCTTGCCCATGTGATTAATTCTTCCAACAAGGACATTAATGAATTTTAGTTTTAGCTTTCATTAAAACTAGGTCACTCTGTATTTAATAGATAAAATATTAGAAATTTCCCTGTTATAGTTATCTACTTTGCTTTTAAGACAAGGTTCTGATTATGGACATGAAGATTCATACTGTTGTTCTCTTATTTTCAGAGCACAGCGAGAGAGAGAGCTAAACATTCAGGGGACTACTTCACTCTCTTAAGGCACCTTCTTAATTATGCTTACAACAGTAATATTAATGTACCTAATGCTGAAGTTCTTCTTAATAATGAAATTGATTGGCTTAAAAGAATTAGGGTAAGTTATAGTTAATACTGTTAGGTTACATCATCGTTGATGATATTTTATTAATAGGTGGTTTGTAGTTTTGAATGTTTTGGTTAAAGGGAAACTCCAGAATAACAAATTGACGAGAATATATACTGCATTGGTGGATGTTTGGAACTCACCATTCACAGAATGAAAACGTAACTAGTTGTGTAAAAATGCTTTGCTGGAGGCTTGGAATATTGTTGTTTGATGCTTCTAAGTGTATTCGGTCTTTTTGAAGAAAAAAATCCTGAGTTTTCATTAAAAATACATCTTACAGGCTAGCACTTTTGATCATGAAGACAGAATTAACTTCTGATGAGATATTGAGTTTTAGCCTTTAGATCATCATTTCTTAAGCCTGCTTCTAGAAAATTTTGAAAGTAATATAAGTCTGCAAATTTGCTCAAATGGAAAGGCTTAGACTAGTAGTGACAAACCTATGATACCCGTGCTGCAGTGGGCTCTTTGTATCATTAAAAGTTCTAAAAGGTTCACCATCAATGGCTTAGGGAATAGTATCTCCCCGGCTCTGTCTTATTCTGACTCAGTCTTTCCCTTTTACCTCTCCTTTATTTTATTTATTTATTTAGGTATCAGGAATCAAACTCAGGATCTTGTACTTGCCAGGCAGATGCTGTGCCACCGAGCCATGTACCCAGCCCTACCTCTCTTTTATAGGTTATGCATTTCTTTTTTTTTTTCCTTTGGTAGGATGATGTTAAAAGAACAGGTGAAACGGGTGTGGAAGAGACGATCTTGGAAGGCCACCTTGGGGTAACAAAAGAGTTACTGGCCTTTCAAACTCCTGAGAAGAAGTTTCATATTGGTTGTGAAAAAGGGGGTGCTAATCTCATTAAAGTAAGTTCAGCATTCCTGGTCTTAAATGAGAAGTATACTTCTAAATATCTGTCCACTTGATGGTATCTTACCTTCAGTGTAGTATTTTCACTTTATTAATTTTCAAAATATTTTTGGGCCATATGTTATTTCAAGACATCATAGACATGTGTTTATAAGATAATTATTTTATCAGACTATTTAAATTAAAAAGATTATAATGTATCATTTCTTTAATGAGTTTTGTGTATGGTAACTCAAAGAAATCACAAGTATCATTTTAATTTTATTCAGGGTTGATTTAAGGCAGAATATGGTAGCACATGCCTATAATCTCAACACTCTGGGAGACTGATGCAGGAGGATTGAAAGAATGGTCAGGGGGCCAGGGAGATGGCTCAGTAGTATAAGCACTTCCCTGGCAAGCGCAAGGGCCTGATGAGTTCAATCCCCGGTTCCGCCAAAAAAAAAGGAAGCCCACCCTGGATGAATTAACAACACTCTATCTCAAAGTATTTTTTAAAAGGCTAGAGATTAGCCAGCCAGGTGTGGTGGCACATACCTATAATCCCAAAGCACTGGGAGGCTGAAGCAGAATGATCACATTGAGTTCCAGGCCAACCTGAACTATATATAGCCAAACCCTGTCTCCAGAGGAGGGTGTGCTGGGGATGTAGCTAATGGGAAGGCTCTGCTTTAGGCCCCTAGTACTGGGGGGAGAAGGGACTGGTTTATTTTTTATATACATTTGATTCAAGGACTAAGGTTTCTTAAAATGTAAATTTGGAAGTACTGCTGCCGGTAGTTAGTTATCTTTTTCTCTTTTGGTGGTGGGTTTTTTTTTTTGGGCAGAGGAGGTTTGGTGGTGGATTTGTTGTTTGGGGGATGGATCAGGTTCTCACTATGTATACAGTTCAGACTGTCCTTGAACTCCAACTGTTGCCTCAAACTTGAGAGAATCCTCCTGCCTCAGCCTCCCAAGTGCTGGGATTATAGTTGTGCACTACCACACCTGGCCATAGTGAGTTATTTTAATACCTAAAAAAATTTTAACATGGCAAATGAGTGTTTCTAGTTATAATACATAGCACTTTAAAAATGGGATATTTTAGTTGGGCATATTGGTGGAAGCCTTGTAATTCTAGCACTTAGGAGGCTGAGGCAGGAAGTCACCAAAAGTTTAAGGCTAGCCTGAAGAAAACAGCAAGGCCCTGTCTCAGGGATGGGTGGGTGGGGAATCCAAGTGAGTTATAATATCTTATTTTCCAATAAGTAATTTTAAAATTATTTTCTTACAAGAGATACTTGTTTCTTTTCCTGAATATATTATTATTAATACATAATTCTTTTTTAACTCTTAGGAATTGATTGATGATTTCATCTTCCCTGCATCCAATGTTTACCTGCAGTATATGAGAAATGGAGAACTCCCAGCCGAACAGGCTATCCCAGTCTGTAGTTCACCAGCCACAATTAATGCTGGCTTTGAGTTACTTGTGGCATTAGCTGTTGGCTGTGTGAGGAATCTCAAACAGATAGTAGATTCTTTGACTGAAATGTATTACATTGGCACAGCAATAACTAGTAAGTATTTTAAAATGTACAGTACTTTAAGAAGTTGTATTTCAACTTTCCTTCAACCAGGTGTGGTGGCACACACCTGTAATCCCAGCACCCAAGGAGCGGAGGCAGGAAGATCACTGCAAGTTTGAGGGTAGCCTGGGCTACAAAATGAGTTGAAGACCAGCCTGAACTGCGTAGTGAGACCCTGTCTCAAAAAGACAAAAGTAAAAATTAAAAATACAAGTTTAATGTTACTTCCATGAGGTTTAAGAAAATTAGGTTTTTGGTGATGAGTGTGCAGTGGTACTACTTGATACATGCTGTTTATGTTCCGTTGATGCCTCTATTAAGCCCATGAAAATGGGGTGCAGATCGCAGGTCTTGAACTGAAACTCATAAAAGGTTGAGGGCAGGGTAGAGTAGCAGAATATACAGAAACACAACAGAGGCCATTTCATTCAAAGAAGAAAACCAGTTTTTAGCACAGTATAATCGCTAAATATTATTTTTAGATACATATTGTGTTTCAAAATACAGAGATTTTAATATCTTAGGTGTTTCTGATTAAATAAATTGCTTAAGAGATTAGACTTTATTTCAAATATATATAGTGCCATGATTTTTTAAATTTAATAGGGGTCTTTTTAAGTAGCACATTTACATGGAAAAATTTCAAGTGCTAAATAGAGAATACACTAAAATGTCCTACTAGGTATAATCAGTTCATGTCTGCCTTCCCAGCTTCTCTGCGTACAAACTCTTTCGTTTTGCTCTTTTACCATAGATTGGAATATAGTACAAACATATTCTTCACTTCTACTTTATTAAGTCTAAAGATATATTTGATCTGTCACTGTTTCCTACCCACCAATTCATAAGTATTTACCTAATTCGATTTAGTAGCTTTATACCTTTCAGTTCAGTAGACTATGATTCACTTAATGGGTCCCATAGAAAATGATAATACTTGTTATTTCCAGGTTTATATGAGAATAGCGGGTAGCTAGTGATTAACAATTCTCGGAAGACTTTGAAATCTGCAATCTGGTTTGGAAGTAAAAAAGACAAATTGGTGTCAGTACTGGGGTGGTGATGTTAGGGTTATTGAAAACTGAGCAGGGCTGGGGACTTAGCTCAGCAGCACAGCACCTGCCTGACAAGTGTGACATCCTGAGTTCAATTTTTAGTACCGAAAACAAAACAAAAAAAAAAGACTGAGCAAACTATCATGTATATTTTATGCCACAATGAGTTTGAAGGTATTTTTAAAAGCATATGAAAGTATAAAATGTTCAAGTGAATTAATAGTTAAGGTAAAAGCAAACCTAGTATGCTATCTTGCTTGTATGGCCAGTTCTCAGACTGCTATCAGAAACAAAACCAGATTAATATTTGAATGTGTGGATAAGAATCCTCATTACTATTTATTTAAGGAGTGTTGAAGGTAGAATAAATGAGAAGTGAAAGCACTGCCTTAGGTTGTTGGAGGGGTGGTGGAGGTGCTTTTTTCTTGTAGAGTTCAAAAGGACAAGAAAGATAGTTGTGTTCCTGCTACAAGACTGTTTCCTTCTCCCAGCCTGTGAAGCACTTACCGAGTGGGAATACCTGCCACCTGTTGGACCCCGCCCACCAAAAGGATTTGTGGGGCTGAAAAATGCTGGTGCTACTTGTTACATGAATTCCGTGATTCAACAACTCTACATGATTCCCTCCATCAGGAATGGTATTCTTGCAATTGAAGGCACAGGTAGTGATGTAGATGATGATATGTCTGGGGATGAGAAGCAGGACAATGAGGTAAATTTTAGCTTTTTCTCTTTTCTGTGTTTGAACTTTTGATGCCTGATACCTTTCTCTTAAGAGAGAGAATACAGTTAATATCCTTTGGATGCTTAAGTCCCTCATATAAAAAGACATAGTAGTAACATACAGTGCTATAAACACCTTCCCTCCTGTGTAATTTAAACATTTCTGGAGTATTTATAGCTGACTCAATGAAAATAATTGTTTTGCTGTGTTGTTTAGGGAATAATGACAAAGTCAGTACATATTCAGTACAGACCCAGTTTTTCATCCAGTATCTTTGGTCAGGAGTTGGTGACTGCAGATGTATAGCTGGTAGTTATGGAGGGCCAATTGTGTTGTAAAAGCGGAGGTAGACTCTGCTGGCTGGACTGCTACATTTTAAAGTAGCAATTTATTGTACACTTTGTTTTTTTGTGTAGTGTTCAGTATAATTTTGAGTTTCTATAAATCTTAATAGTTTATATGTTTACTTCTCTTTCATTTTAATTATGTATCATTGATTTGTGCCTAATTGTATAGTATCTGCCAATTTTATTATCTGTGCTTGCTTCTAGGTTATACTTGTATCTCCCCCAATTTGTTGCAAAATTTAGGCTGCCTACAGAGTATTCAATAGAAAATAAAGCAACAGAAAGATTGTTGTGGTGGATCAGAGTTGACATGACTATGACATTGCTTTTCAGAAAGAGAAGATGGCAAGAATTAGATTGTGGTTGTGTTTATATATACCCTATACTGTATTTGTCTTTTCATGTTTGTTGCATTAGTGGGAACAGAAGAGAGAGTATATTCTCGTGATAAACATCTTGAGTGTTTCTTTCCTTATTTCCTCCCTTCAGTCAGCAGACTAGATTTGTTCTAAAAAAAATAGTTTTACCACTTGGCAGGGCTTTTAAAACACACATCAAGTCCTCTCTGGACCTATGGACCAGATCATCCAGGGATTAGGGACTGAGGCTGTAGCTTAGTGATAGGGCACTTTCCTAGCATGTGTGAGGCCCTAAATTTCAGCCTTAGCACTTTTAAAAAATAACACTTCATAGAAGCTGCTTATGGGACCAGGGAGATAGCTCAGTAGAGTAAGCGCCTGCCTGGCAAGTGCAACATCCTGAGTTCAATGCCCAGTTCTGCAAAAAAAAATTTTTTAAAGGGGGGGAGGGGCTGGTGAGATGGCTCAGTGGTCTAAAGCACCTACTTAGAACAAGCTAAGCAAAGCACAGGGACCGCGGTCCCCCGGCACCACATGCCAGTCAGCCCCACCCCCTGGTGGGCTGAACTGGCCACATACACTAAATAAATAAATAAACAAACAAACAAATTTTAAAAATTAAAAAAAAGAAGAAGAAGCTGTTGCTGCTTATACCCCCATCCATACCTAGTTAGAATCCCTGCTGTGAGGGGGAATTGAAATTTAAATTTTAGTTCTGCAGCCCATCATACATCCCTGGGATATTGAGTTAAACACAAGTAGTTACAGCTGATTGTGTTGGCAATCAGTAGGTAAGGCACTGAAAATGACACAGTTTACCTACCTGTGGTTATCTGCACCTGTAATCTCAGCTACTCAGGATACTAAGGCCAGGATAGTTTTGATTTTTTTTTTTTTGACAGTGTATCTGACTGTCTACTTTGGGCTGCCTGAATGAAAGTCACTGTGAGCTCAAGCTAGCCTCAGACTTACTGCCTCAAACTTATATGCCTCATCCTCCCAAGTGCTGAGATTATAGGCATGTGCCACTGTGAGCAACCTGCTTATATTTTTGTTTTCTTCCTTGAGCTCTAAATTTCTTTTGGGCACAGACTAGAATTTTTTTTCTTTCTTTTCTCATACTAGAATTTAGGGTTTTTTAATACTAGAATTTAAATTTCATCCTTAGCACATGTTGGGCAAGTGTTCTACCATTGAGCTATATTGCTGCCCCTTGGTTTTATTTTCATTTTTGAGACAAGGTCTTGTTATACTGATTAGACTGGCCTCAGACTTGGGATCCTTCTGCTTTACCCTCCTGAGTAGCTAGGGTTATAAAGTCTGCCACCATATCTAGCTTAGTGTCTTATTGTATTACTTTATTTTCAAGGCATCAAACAATTCTTAAAGACATGATTAAGTGGTGTTAACTATTTTAATATTATTGTGTATAATCCCAACTGTCCATCTCCACAAGTGTTTATCTTGCAAAATTAGGTCTGTACCCATTTAACAACTTGTCCTTCAAATCCCAGCTTCAAACAACCACCATTCTTTGTTCTTTATTAATTTGACAGTCTAAGCACTTTAAATGGATTGTTTGAATATTTGCCATTTTATTGCTATTTCACTTAGCATGTCTTCAGGGTTCATCCATGTTGTAATATGCTGGAATTTTCTCTTTTTAAAAGACTGAATACTGGGCATGGTGGCACACACCTGTAATACCAGTACTCTAGGAGATTGAGTCAGGAGAATCACTACAAGTTAGTTCAAGGCCAATCTAAACTACATAGCAAGAACTAGGCTGAAAAAAACAAAATTAAAAAGGCTGAATAGTGTTCTATTGTATTTTATGTTTATATCCCATATTTTGCTTATCTGTTCATCTTTCTGTGAACACTTGAGTTGCTTCCTACTTTGTAACTGTGACAAAGTGACCAATGAATGTGATGCCCTGCTTTCGTTTCTTTTGGGTACACGCCCAGAAGTAGAAATGCTTAGTCATAGGCTAATTCCATTTATAATGTTTTGTAATAAGTGTACTGTTTCACATTGCCACCATTTATGCACAAGAGATCCATGCACTTGATTCACATCCTCACTAGCACTTGTGATGTTCTCTTTACCACAATGAGGTAATATCTCGTTATAGTTGTGATTTGCATTTTTCTGATGATTAGTGGAGATCATTTGGCAATGTTTATTATTGGCTATTTGTGTATCATCTTTGGAACATTACTGTCTTCAAGTGTTTCGTCCAGGTTTGTTTGTTTGTTTTTGTTCTTTTGTTTGTTTTTGGTGGTACCAGGGATCGAACTCAGGACCTTGTACTTGCCAGGCAAGCACTTATTCCACTGAGCTATCTTCCCAGTCCCCTTTTGTCCATTTTTAATTGACTTTTGTTTTAGAATTTCTCTATTCTAGATTTTAATCCTTTATCAGATAAGTGATTGGCAATTGTTTTTTCCCATTCAGTTGAGAGCATATTTACATGGAAAAAGTTTTTAATACATTTTTAGGAAGTCCAGTTTGTCTGTATTTCTTTTGTTGCCTTTATCTTTGGTGCCATAGTGAGGAAATTATAGTACAACATGCCTTGAAGCCTGTACTTTCTTTTCTTTGAGTGTTTTGTGCAGCTAGGAATGTAGCTCAGTGGTAGGGTGCTTCCTGGCATGCTTGAGACCTTGGTTTCCATCTGTAGCTCTGGCATACCCCCTCCCCCAGGCCAAATATGTTTTCTCTTTTGTTTAGAACTTGGATACATTTTAAATTTTTGCATATCGTGTTAGATAATGATCCCACTTACAGCACCATTTGTTGAGCATAACCACGTTTGTTTGTTTGTTTGTTTGTTTGGTACCGGGGATTGAACTCAGAACCTTGAATTTGCCAGACCGGCACTTATGCCACTGAGCTATCTCCCAGTGCAATAACCACTATTAATGTGTATATTTTACTAAATTTTCTACATTATCTCATACAAGCCTTACAGTATTATCCCCATGCACACATAAGAATGCTGAATCTTAGAAAGTTTTAAGTATGTTCACTTGGTCAAACTTATTTACCTGAAGTAGTAGAGTCTGAATTTGTGTCCAGCTTAGTCTAACTTGATTGCACTAACTCTGCTGTATACCACCTACACTCTCTGATTCCTCTCACCTTATGGTGAGAGTATTCATTTATAATGATTTGCAGCTGAGCATGGTGGCATACATCTATAATTCCAACACTTGGGAGGCTAAGGCATAAGGATCCCCACAAGTTCAAGGCTGGCCTGAAGTGCAAATCAAGACTCTTGTCTCAGAAAAAAAGAATAAAAATGGCTCTTATAAAATGAGGAGGGGGCAAGCATAATAGTCTAAACTTCGAAGGTTAAGTTGGGCATGGTAACACATGCCTGGAATTCCATCTCTCAAATTTGAACCTAGCATGGACAATTTAGTGACTTAGCAAGACACTGTCTAAAAATAAAAGTTTTTAAAAATCCAGAGATGTAGGTCAGTAGAAGAGAACCCCAAGTGCTTTGGGGAAAAATAATAAAAGTATAAATCATATGCTCACTAACTGGCATTTATATTCATGTATTTTACTACAGTGTAGCTCAATAATACTTTTTTGATTTTCAGAGCAATGTTGATCCCAGAGATGATGTATTTGGATACCCTCAACAATTTGAAGACAAACCAGCATTAAGTAAAACAGAAGATAGGAAGGAGTATAATATTGGTGTCCTAAGACATCTTCAGGTCATCTTTGGTCATTTAGCTGCTTCTCGGCTGCAGTACTACGTGCCCAGAGGATTTTGGAAACAGTTCAGGTAATACCACTGGAAAGATAGTAACAGTAGTAATAATTCTTAAAATTTGATGAACATCTTATGGCATATGTGTATAGTAATCCCAGCACTCAGGCTGCTGCACCCGGAGTTCAAGGCCAGCCTGAACTGTATATCAAGATCCTGTCTCAAAAAAGCAAAACCCAGAAACTTGACAAATATCTCAGTACACCAACAGTGAATTTCTAAACATTTTAAGGCATCTGTGTGTTTAATATTTTACCAGTTGATAAGATTCCAACAGTTCCTTTTTAATTTTCTGTCTCTCTCTTTTTTTTTGGATGGAACCAGGGATTGAACTCAGGCCCTAGGGGCCGGGGAGATGGCTCAGTGGAATAAGCGCTTCCCTGGCAAGGGCCTGAGTTCAATCCCTGGTTCCGCAAGAACTCAGGCCCTTGCGCTTGCCAGGGATGTGCTTATTCCACTGAACCATCTCCCCAGCCCCTTTAATTTTCTCTTTTTTATTGTCCTTTAAAAGATATAAAATTATTGCTAGGGGGACAGCATTCTTTTTCATTTATTTATGTGATAGTACGTAGTACTTCTACATATAAGGGGCAGCAATTTTTAGTCTCAAGATAATATTATGGAAATATCTGGCATATATATAAGCAAAATAATACCAATTCTAACCACAAACATAGTATACAACTATAATCCTGCACTCAGGAGGCTCAGGCAAAAAGATGGCCATGAGTTTGAGGCCATCATGGGCTACCTAGCAAGACTATTTCAAAACCAAGGGGGAAAGAAAAAAATAGTATCAATCCTGACGTGTTCATAGCCCTGTTCTTGTTTAATCTGTTTTTCTACCTACCACTTTGTAAAAAGTCCTCAATAGCAAATATGAACAATGTTTGAACTCAGTTTATTTGTCTCAGAGATGATTTTCACTGATATTTTTAAAATCAAGACTCAACGGGCTGGTGAGATGGCTCAGTGGTCTATAGCACCTACTTACAAGAAGCTAAGCAAAGCAAAGCACAGGGACCGCAGTTCAGTCCCCCAGCACCACATGCCAGCCAGCCCCGTCCCCTGGTGGGCTGAGCTGGCCACACACACACACACACACACACACTCTTAAAAAAAATGGAAAAAAAAATCAAGACTCAACATTGCCTCACATTCACGAGGCCTTGCCCCCCAAAAAAACTTGCGCAGGTTACTTCCTAGATAACTGAGAGTGGATAGAAAATCAAAAAGGTCACCTGCTGTTGCTATTTTACCATTGCTTGTGGTAGAAGAAAGCTGTGCATTGCTTCAGAACCCCAGCTTTACAGTCTAGTGGTTGACCCACCAACATGTCAGTTCCCTTCATTCCCTAGCCAGGACCCTGTTGGTCTACACGCAAGCCCTGCAGTTGCCATCACACTCACAGCTTCCCCTCACTCTCTCCCCTCTATTTCAGTTCTGTTCCCTTTTCTCTTCCCCAAATTACTCCATGCTTGGTGATCTTCTATCTTGAAATTTGTCACTCAGTTATAGTTCTCTCACATGTGTACTTTCTCTCTTACAGTGCCTTTAATTTTGCTTTTTCATTTCCTGTGCTGGTGAGTGTTCACACTTGGTCTAGACAAGCACTTTTACCTATGCTTCAGACACATGATCCTACATACTTTCAACATGTATATGTTCTAACAACATTTTAGTTTTTTGAGATAGGCTGGCCTTGAGCACACAACAGTCCTAGCCTCACCCTCTTTTTTTTTAATTATGAAATATAATTGACTTTATTTTTTTATGACATAAGAAAAGGAAGATTTATTAAAACAATAGCATAAAGGGAAAATGAAATTATGTTGCAAGATACTATTTTTGCAGTAATGTAAATTATTTAAAAGTACATTTTTTTACCTTTTTTATTGACATCAGTTATTATTTTAAAGAAAGAAAAAAAATAAAAAACAGTGGTACAAAATCTTAAAACAGCTTTTGGGTCCTCCTTTCCAAGATGACGAAAAAAAGAAGGAACAACGGTCGTGCCAAAAAGGGCCGCGGTCTTGTGCAGCCTATTCGCTGCACGAACTGCGCCCAGTGTGTACCCAAGGATAAGGCTATTAAGAAGTTTGTCATTTGGAACATAGTGGAGACCGCCGCCATCAGGGACATTTCCGAAGCGAGTGTCTTCGACGGTTATGTGCTTCCTAAGCTGTATGTGAAGCTGCATTATTGTGTGAGTTGTGCCATTCACAGCAAAGTGGTCAGAAATCGATCTTGTGAAGCCCGTAAGGACCGAAATCCTCCACCCCGATTTAGAACTGCTGGTGCTGCCCCACGACCTCCACCAAAGCCCATGTAAGGGGAGCTGAGTCTTAATGGACTGAAGAAAACTCT